CAACGGGCCGAGAGGTGCCCGACTGGTGGGTCAAGGATGCCCTCTGGAGGTTGTCCAAGGCCCCGCGGCGGCCCGCGGGAGGCCATTCCAGTCGGGCGCCGGCGGCGCGGGCGAGCGGGCGCACGGAGATGCACTACATCACCCGCAGTGACTCGCCGCGCCCAACCCCCTCGGGCACCACCCCCGCCGCCCCAGTTGCAGCCAGCCGAGTGAGGCCGGTCAGGGCCGCCGCGCCTCTGTCGCGGGGCGGGGCGGACCTTCCTGCTTGCGATAAGGAAACGTGCGCCAGGTGGGCTCGGCAGCGCAGCTCACAGACTAACGGCGCCGCGAGCACAACTTGACTGCAGTCTGCACGTCCTTCCCTTGCAGCCCGAGCCGCCGCCGCCCCCACCGCCCCCCGCTGGGCTGTCACAACCTTATCGCTGACATAAGAGCGCTGCCCCGCGGACCTCACTCTCCGGCTGGGCCCGCGGCCCCCGCGGCCCCCTCGGCTCTCTCCTTATAAATAATTCATGCCGTTGTTGTCATTCGCCGGGGCGTCGATTTTCGAATATTTTTTCCCGTAAAACGACGAACAGACGCGCGCCGGGTCGAAATCCCATAAAGCGGTAGACAGCGCGAAGACGCGCACGTCCGATTCACCTCCCGTCGACATTGACCCCGTTTGATACGGAGGACGACGGCGGCGGCGGCGGCGCGGCCCGTTTGTCGGCCGTGCATCTGGCTGGCTATATCTATCCCTCCACCTATCTCTACCTCAGCCAGTGCGGCGCAGCGAGCGAGCGAGCAAGCGGACGCTGCGGAGCAGAGCGATACAAAGTCACAGTGCCAAGGTGCAGACCGAGGTGCAGACAGACGCAGCACGAGTGCATAGTCGGGGCGCGGCGCGGCGTGGCGGGGGGCGGGGCAGGGGGCGGGGCGACCAGGGCCGTGCGTCACAAGATGCAGCTGCAGCACTAATAGCTCACCGAATCATTTCCCGACATTCCGACGACATTTTTAGTTTGGGGGCCAACCGAAAAGATGATATGAGATTAGAAAAGCTGTACAGCTCCTTAATTACATCTACAACAATCATCATTATTTCACCAGGTCAAAAAATGAAAAAGAAAGGTGTTTCTCATCTCGATGTTTTTCTGTCTTCCCCCC